CACACACACACACACAGTGTATCTTTAACTAACGGTCACTGGTCCCTGTTGGCGGTTAGTTTACCGTTGGCAGCCACTTCCATCGTCGCGTCCAGTACATACGTCTATTAGTGACAAAGCTACGCAACGTCACGTCAAGAATTCAGACGTTGTTTCGCTGAAGCAAAGTTACTGCGCAGAAGAGCCGTCGTCGAGGCTAACGTTGATACAACAATACGGACTCGAGCCGTGTCGTATCGTAGTTAAACTAGCCAGCTTATACTTGCGCACATTACTTTTCTCTTTAGTTTGCAAACCCCAACGTGCCAGAAAAAAATAAAAATCCAATGTGCCGTCCCCGTTAATGACAACACACCGACTCCAAGCTGCTAACACGCTAGCTGTGATTCAAGTTTCTAAAGTTTGTGTTGGTGAAGAAGCCACCTGATTGGTCGGCTCTTCTTCTTCTTTCTTATCTAATTGGTTGTTGGCAAACCAGCGTCACTATCGCCACCAACTGGACTGGAGAGGAGCTGCAGTATCAAATGCTCTTATTAGACAGTTGAATTAATTATGTTTTCTAAATGTAATAACAGTCATGACCAAATTACAAAACCTGTAATTCCATTGAAAATAAATAATAATTTCCTTTATAATAAATAAAGGAAATATGTCCTGCATAAGAACACACACTAAATGTATGTTGATCTTTCACTTTGATATGATTTTTTAAAATCATAACCACATTTTTATTGTAAACCACTATACATACATACATAGATTTTATTAAAACTATGTATTAGAATCCATACAACCAAGCCAGAAACACAATGGTGAAGGAGATCAGAGTAGCAAACAGAAGCTACAAGGAGAGAATTCAGGAAATGGGTAGGACTCATCGCTGCAGATCCAGCACACCCGGGACACAACCTGGTCCAACATCTACAGAGCACTGTACACCAGAACAGTTTCTTTATGCACGCCATCACTCTGATGAACAGTTACACTAGTCGTATAGTATTATTAATCCTGTAAGACTAAGCAATCAATTATAGATGATATGTTTACTACATATTTTCACTTGGCTTGGAAACCAGAGGGTAACTGTGCACTGGCAGCTGGAGAACTGCTGAGGTACCCTTGAGCAAGACACTGAACCCCTAACTGCTCCTGGGAGTGCCCATCACATCATATTTGCATGTTTACAAGCCCTCTGTGTGTGTGTGTGTGTGTGTGTGTGTGCGGTTGTATTTCAGGATGTGTGAATTTCCCCATTGGGGCTTAATAAAGTCCTCTTCTTCACATTGTCAATATAAAACCCTGCACACTGTATATACTGTATCTAAACATGCATACACTGTACAGAACAACCCACTTCTTGTATTTACATTTAATACTTCCTTTGCACTATTTAAATGTGTTATATTGTTGTTTATGTTCAGCTATATTTGCTCAGTTTTGCAGCTCCTGTTAATAGCTGTATGTTTATTTCTATTGGAACTGTGTCAAAGTAGATTTAGAGGACTGTTCTTGTTTATGTACTAATGTTCAATCAATGTTGTGTTTACAACTAGCTTTACTGCCCCCAAGTGGCCAAACATAGTTATCGCAGATTTAAATCCTACATATTGCTGTAATGCTGTTTAAAAGGAAAGCGTAAATATTAAAAAATGTCTAAAAATGTGTTGTTTTGTTCTAAATGCATGCAATTCTTATTTGTTACTTCTACATAATTATATATATACACATATATCTTTTCACCATTAGATCACATACTTCTAACATAGCAAGTCAATAAACTTACACTGGGTTGGAGACAGAAACACAGATTCAGGTAAGAGTAAAGGTAGTACCACATTTATTAATTGGTCAGTAATTTCTAGCTGCTAGGGTAAGGACATATCCAGTTAATTGCACCATAATGAGGTTAGAGGCACAGCAGGAATCGTTCACTATTAATCGCTTACTTTCTTTATCAGTGCAGTACCTCTGTTGTACATTACAGTGGAGTTATATGAGAGAAATCCCCCTCATATTGTTTACACTGTGTTTAATATACCAACCAAACATGGTCTGTAGCTATTATCACAATGCATGAGTTAGTTGGTGACTAATGGGTCTTCTAAAGTTAGTTATCGGATGTCTTTAGATAAAAACCCATGATAGAAGGATGTGAGCTTGTATGGTGGCGCTGTCCATTGCTCTCTGCACAATGTTAAATGTTAGTGCAAAATGACAGTCACCAAAGTGTTTTGAGGTGGATTTTCTTTTTTCTCCCATTAAGTCCGCAAAACAGTATGTTAGCACGTGTGAAGGAATGTCTTACAATCACTACATAAAAATGACAACAAATTCAAACTACTTGTAATCTCATAAAAACCTGGAAATGACTATTTGTCACGTAAGGCGTACAAGACTAAAGCCTGAAACATATTCTGTGTTAAGTGTGCAAACAATTGACAGTTGGCCACCAGATGTACGCTCCAGGCCTCGCCGTGCGGAGAACAAAAAGTGGTCCGGGACATGTAGTGTGAACAGGGCTCCTTCATAGGTTCACTTTCTAAATCTAAGGCGTTTTCATTTCATCATTTAATTTCAAGATTGAATTGCTATAATCGCTCTACGGATGGTCTGTGCACTTCTCAGAAACAAATTTTAAAAAGTTACATGGGGTCTAAAACCCCGACGCACCACCTCTCATACAATTTCTTCATATAATTTGGAATTCTTCAATTTCCTTTCCAGCACATTTCCAAATGTTCCCGTCCTGTGTAGGAGCCCTATGTAACAGCAAAGACTATTTCTTCCTCTCATCCTGAACATGTCGCTTCACTGCTTCAGGACGGGGAGCTCCCTCGGCTTAAAGAAGGCCTGCACCATCCCCATGGCAAAGATGTACACTTTGGCGTCCACCACGATTTTTTCTTTCTTCAGCAGATCTGCGGGATAAAACACGCCAAGAGTTAGTCTGTGGCGGTCTGAATGCTCGTACTGCTCACACAGGAACGCCGCTCTGAGAGAAAGCTCAGGTCTCACCGTCTATTTTAGTCTGGAATTCATCGAGAGGCAAAAGAATGACTTCGACGAATTCTGGAGGGAGAGGATGAAGGTTTGTGTGAGGATTTGTTTCACCAGAGAAAATGATTATTTCTGATCTAATAAGCAACATAACTCACCTCCATCACCTGCAGATGAAGAACAAGAGAGAACAAGATTATTCAAGACGGTTTTTATGTTACAGACAAACATACAGTACAAGCCTTACGGTAATGTTTAGAAGATCGCTTGTTTCAACTTGCTGAATGCCACCTGTTCATAAAGAGTTGCCGGTTTGTAACTCTTAGAAAGTCTTTTAGGCAGCTCTTAGCTTGAGGCGAAGTGTTTGTGGGTACGTTTCACTCACAAACATGTTACCCTTCAGGTCCTGCTGTGAGAGATCAGCACATGAAAGCGGTACAAATGCAGCAGTGCCAGTAGCTGTATTAGGGGACTCCAAATAATGTATGGCAACAGCTGTCAACACTGTGTCTTTGCAGAGCTTCACTGTGACAGAAATAATGAAGAAGGGGTCTGATATGAAGTCAGACGCCAGAAAAACAAGTCTTGCTGAAGCAAAGCCAAGCACGAGGAGAGGCGGTCAGTCCCTGGATAATAATAATATTAATTATTAAGCTGGTTAACACACAGTTACAAATGACTTCTGTGTATCTGTTTACATGCTGATAAGGCTGTTTGTACAGTAAGAGAGGAACTGCTGAATGTTGTGACACTGAGCTGATGAAACTCTGAGAACACTACTCTGATTGATTGAAAGAACAGATGAGCCAGAGACTGAAGAACTGACCGAGTGAGCAAATAAATGGATTACTAATTCTGCTCACCGAGCTGTTGCGTTGGGTTGATATTCTCCATGTCATCTCCGTTGATGTTGACCAGGATGATCTGGGTGGTGCAGTTAGACAGACCCGGGTCCAGACAGGTCACTGCGATCAAAACAATAAAGTTACTACTTACATTCTGTGTACATGACATAAAAACGAGAGCGGGACTTCTGCGGCTAATGGGGTCAAATGTACAGTACGTCTACCTGGAGTGACTCCGACTACTTCCCCTTTGTAGCCCGTTTCTTCTTTCAGCTCCCTCAGCGCAGCAACCTCCGCACTTTCCCCCTCGTCAATCAACCCTAAGCAGAGCAGAAACAATATTCTGAGCGTCAGCAAACACACACACACGGCACCATTCGTTAACAAAAGGCCCAACAGCGCCATTGTGTGGGAAGAAGAATGAAAAGATGTCGAATGTTTTTGAGACGTGAGAAGTCTGTTTTGGTGAAATTCAGCAGGACAAAAACAATGTATGCAGAGTGTGTTTCTGACCTGCAGGAAACTCCAGAGTGCAGCATCCCATGGGAGGACGAAACTGCTTCACCATCACTACGCAGTCTTTGTGGAGCGTCCGTTTCAGCAGGGCGATAATTCCGACACCTGCAGGAAATGTGAGTTACAGCTTGTGCGCCTCGAAATCTGACCCTGAAAACTGTCAGTGCAAGCTCACCTGACCTCCAGCTAACAGGAAAAACAGGAAGAAACCTAGAGGCGCTCACCATCCGCTTCTGTGTTGGCTCGTCTCGTTGTCCTCTTCGTGGTCTCCCAGGTCCTGGTGGATGAAAACAGGGAGTGAAACGGTTGCGCAGGAAACCTGTGCGATCGTGAAGTCATGTCAGTCGCAGACTGAACAGTACCTGGTGTTTCCCGCGGGGTCCACGTACGTCGTCTTCTCCAGCTTCACCCATTTTCCTGCTGCAATGAGCTGCAACACAGAGAGTGACCGCGCCAAGCTAAGATGGTGTGAATGGGACCAAATGCACTCTGTAATCACAATTCTTTACGGCTAAACAGCTCAGGAAATCCATTTTTCTTTTTACATTTATGGTCATTTTTGTTCTCATGCAAATGAGCAAATATTTGTTGATGTATTCTGTAAAAGCTTTTATTATAAAGATGATGTATAAAGATGTATACTTAGTATCTGTAGTGATTATTAAGTAAGTGAAATTCAGCAGTACCTGATTTTGCATTATTGTGCATAAACAATGCACCAGTTTTATCATAAGTAACTATAAACTAATGCTAAAATGAACTTATTTATATAAGCTGAGTCATCAGGTAGAGCTGTAATGCATCCAATACAAAGGCCCTACAGTAAAACGCACATTTTAAAGCTTACACGATAAAAAGATGTATTGATGTTCTGTTGTGTTAAATTGGACAACATTTTGCAGGTGTCGCTACTAAAACTGCCAGAGTACATTACTGCTTCAAGTCAGAGGTCATGTGGAGCATTTTATGGCAGCTGTCACAGAGTTTGTGCCAGAGAAATCCCTCCTAAAAGCACCACAAAAAGAGACGTACCTCCTCTTTCACTATGTGTGGAGCAGTACAGTTATTCACTTTGGGTTCCTCGGAGTTGCTCATTTTCAGTATCTGGACGACTAGAAATGGAGGAAAAGTAAAAAGTAAAAGAAAGTTTTAAATGAAAAATTAACACAGTTCACAACTAGGAATTAAAAGAAAACAAAGAGAAACTCCATTTCAACGCTGACGGTACGGCTCGGATCATGAGTTGCTCAATTAGCTGCTACAGGAGGAAACGCTAACCAACATCCACTCCCCCGTTACACTGCCCACATTCAGCCTTTCTCTTCGGGTTTGTTGGACGGCAGCCGGCTGCTTTACACCCAACAATGCTCCAAGAGTTAGGAGCTGGGGTATTTTAAACTTTAAACTTTAAACAATCATTTCAAATGGAAAGAATTAAACTCACGTGAAACCCCAGCGGTGTGTAAGTAATGGTAGAGATGGTAGAGAAGTGGAGAGGAGTCACTCTGTCACTACTTCCGGGTACCGCAAAAGTTTCCGGACTCTAGTTTTATTCTTCAGTAAGTTGAATATTGTGCTTTATAATGTGTGTTTTCGGAGTAAATTCTACCAAATGTTTAGAATATAAATTCAATTACATGAAATCATAAGCAACTTTTTCTTTATAATGCGACATTTTGTAACAATGTACATGTTTTACATTATCAATGTAAAATAAATAGTTGACCAGTATCCAACAATACGACAGGAGCCACGCTGTATTATTGATTATGCTTATTAATTAGGTTAGATTAATTATGTCACATTTGTTTGTAATTTGTGAGAATGTAGATTTTAAGGTACTGAGTGGTTGCTCTCTCAATAAACGATCTATGTTAAATCCGACCACGCCCACACGTGCACCTCATAAAGACCTCCCCTCCTGAAAACATTAATTTATTTCATTATTCTAGAAATAAAGCATTGACTGCTCACCAGTGGGGTTAAAATAAATTAAAACGAATTAATAACAGTACAAAGACAACAACATTTCCTCTAAATATCAAGGCGTTGAATGAGAAAGCCCCGAACTTTTCCAAAATATCCGGCGGTCGGACGATATTTACTGATGGACACTTTCCCGCTACAGGATATTGCAGCATGAAGAAGGAGCAAGTTGTCAACTGTCAGTTTTCGGTTTGGTATCCGATATTCAAGAAACATACGATTAAAAGGTAGACAGCTGCTGTTTGTACACGAAGTACAGGAACTACTCTCTTTGTTGTTGCTGTAAAACAGTTCATGTAGCCTCCAGCTAACGTTAGCTAGCAGACACAAAGCTGCCGTCTCTGAATAATAGTTTAAATATCCGTTTTCAGAGCTTCAGCCTCTGTTTGTTTGTTGCCTGGGGTGTATTCTCATATTTGCATGTATTTATATGTTGTTGTGCTTTATTCCAGTCTGATTCTCCCACTGCCTCAGAATGTAATAGAATATTTACTGGACGATGGGACACTGGTAGTCTCTGGGAGGTGAGAGGACACACACACACACA